ATCTCTCGCCCGCTTCATGGATTATTTCGTGTCAACAGCTTCCCTCATTAGACCCGTAACGCATGTTTGTTTATCACGGGAGGTGGCGGTGTTTTTCACTCGCTGAGTTGTAAGATCCTGTACCGACATACACGTCGGCGTGAGTTTTGCCGAAACACATCTGCCACCTGCAGGGCTCAGCCCCAGTTCAGATAAGATTTAAGCTCCCGCTTGGCCTCCTGAGTGTTACTGTGATTCGTGAAGTGTAAATGTACGCATTTAATGAGTGAAGTTAAAATAAAAAGAAGGAAAGTACCTGCTCGATCCGTGACTCGTTTGTTGCGGTACTGCACCGGCATTAGCCTGGCGTTCAGAGGAGAAATTACTTGAAACCACCCGCTGAGTAGTCAGCCTCTAGAATTCTCCTAAGCGGATGAAGTCCATCTTGTTATGTAGCTAGTGTCGAAAATCCTGCCACCGTCGGGACTCAAACCCTAGAATATCCTGGTGAGAGGTACTGCAATGACCAATTGAAGCCCTGAGCTACCTTAGCTTGTGCTCGCTATCGTGTTCGTTTTCCCGCCGCTCTCGTTCACTCTCGCTCGCACTCGTTCGCTCTCGCTCGCACTCGTTCGCTCTCGCTCGCACTCGTTCGCTCTTGCTTTCTTGTGATTTATCGCGCTTTCTCGCATTTTCTCGTACTTTCTCTCGCTTTCTTTCTCTTCCGATCTATGCTTGCATCCCGTACACCCGAATCTTTCCAACCTTTTCAACCCGCTCCCAACCCACCCGGTTTCCTCCCATCATCAATTTCCCTCTCTTATTCTTTTGTCTTTTACCCAACTCTTTCGTTCTCTTCTAATCTATCCGGTCGTTTTTGCCCCTTCTCACCTTGCCATGATTTTATTCAATCTACGCGTTGCAACTTTTTTTCACCACATCGTTCTTCAGTTCAAAGGTCAATCTATTTTTCAAGTAATTCATCTATTAAAATGTTGCAAGCTGTGAATAGATATAAATCATATTTTCTGGTTAGCAAATAATTACGCTATGAACTACTCAGCCAAATTTTATATTGCATACTATTTTAGACATATTCAATTCATTTATACTCTGATAATGAAAATAAATATAATTCAAGAAACAGATGTTATTTTTTTTATCTGTCATTGCGACATGTTTCGGAAAATTCAAACCATCTTTATTGCCCTGTGATTTTGTGTTAAAAGTATGTGTTTATGATGTGTTAGCACCGCAGTTGTGCGGCCGCGATTTTGTCATAGATGATAAAATTTCACAAAATGTCATCTGCTCTTCGCAATTACATTTTACCCTTCCAAAACAATTCACATAATGTCACACTTCAATGCATTGGGCATTAGAAAGTCTCATTTTCATACGACGCGAGCGAATAACTAATTGCAGTGTTAGAAACTCCCCCAAATCTCATTTACAGGAGGAATATATTCTGTTACGAATACGGCATCAATATTTTGCTCTTGAATATGAGCGGTTGAAGATCAGAACGTAAATTAAAAATCAATTGATGAACTGTTAAATTGAGTGTTGTTAGTTGAAAAATCTAACATGTATTAATTTGCTTCAACAATCAATTTGATGGAGTTCAATTCCATTAACTAATTTTGATAAATATTTTAATTAATCGTCTTATGTATAAACATTTTATTTTGATGAAATCGTCATACGGATTGGATCATTAATTAAAACATTCAATTAACTGCAATAATTTGTAATCGGTTTTAAAAGGTAAAACCGACGTTTTCCACGTCGATTTAAATTCATAGTATCATTAGTAGAAAATGAACAAATCAAATAGTTAAAAACAAGTTCTCATCTTAGTGGACAAATAAAAACTTTTATTTAAACATTATTGGAGACCCCAATTCAGTGGAGGCAAACTGTATGTGCTTAGGGTACTTAAGGGCATTAATCCGCCCCCAACAAATGTCGCTTCCCATCCGCGTCTTCCGCCACCCAACCCCCACCCCCCACCCCCCACCGCCCCGTCCCCTTCCTGTGCGCCGTCCGGCTGGTTCGCCTGCTTTTATTTCTTCCTGTTGCGCCCGCTGCCTCCGCCTCCGCCGCTCGGGCGTCTTTTTAATGCCGCCCGCGCTGGCCGCACTTATCTCGCGACGACGCCACCCCAGGACTCTGTTAGCGCCCGCTCCCCGCCTTGCGCCCGCGCGCGCCGGCCCCGCGCGCGCCACTGCCGCGGGTTGCCCGTAGCTGTTCACCATCCCCAAGGCGGGTATGGCGATTCTTGGGGGAAATTGGATGAGGAGGGAACGTTGCATGAATGAATGATTGATTGACATGTTTTATCACGGGAGATGGTGGTTTTTCCCTCTCTTGCATTGATTGATTGATTGATTGTTAGTGACTCCGGGCGCGTCAACTGCTCAGGTTATTAGTCACGTTAGTGTAGTGAATGTTTTTTTTCTTCGGGAGGTGGCTGTGATCTTCCTCCGTTGAATCACGAGATTCGGCGCCGACCTACTTGTCAGCTAGCGAGGATTTCCACAACCAGTTGTCTCCCACTAGCGGCACACCGTCCCAGCCGACACAAGATCTAAGTTTCCGTCCGGTCTCCTGATCGCACGCAGTCCGTGACCCATTTGTTACGGTACTGCTCCGGCATTCCATTGAACGGAGAAACCACGTAACACCGTAACACACCACGCATTACTGATCCGAGTAGCTAGCCGCAAGAATTCTTCTCCAGAGAGCGTCTGAATTCGATCTTGCTGAAAAGATAAGTGTCGAAAATCCTATCACCGTCGAGACTCGAACACAGGACCTCCCCCACACTTAGAGATTGGGAGATCCTGCGCCGATCGTCGGCTCGCGGAGGGTTTTCCCTTTCCAGTTACCCCACAGCGGAGTACCGCATCAGACAGGACAAATGAAGTCCCCGGCTGATCTCCCGGCTTATGTGATTGATGTAAGTGTACGTGTGTGCGTGTAAGAGGAAATGTGAGAAATAGAAAGAGGAAGGAAAGATCGGGAGCGGTCCGTCGTTCGTTTGTTGGGATACTGCCTCGACATTGGCATGTAATAATTGAATAGAGAATACTATAAATAAACCACAATAAACTACTGACCAGAGCAGCGAGCAGCTAGAATTATCCTGAAGGCTTCGATTTAATTTGACCTAGCTTGTCGTAGTCGTCGATGTAGCTAGTATCAAAAATCCACCACCGGTGGAACTCCAACCCTAGGACCGCTTGGGCAGATGTACTACAGAGTCAGCAGCAATTCTATCTCAGTGCTAAATTCAGTCGCTAGGAAAAGTTGGAGCTTTTTAAATATTATACATTGAAAATTTTATTTGTAAGATAAATGTGTAAAATTTATAAGACTATTTTAAGTTGTCCTCTCAAAATTTTGTAACTTAAACTAATCAATATAATTGCGCATTCATAAGGCTCAAATGCGAAATACAGTGAAAGCGATTATAATATATTCTATTTTTGTTGCCATCGTGATGTACGTATCATCTTACTCTCGTACTTATTGTCTCTGGTATCATGACATTTAGCAAGTTACTTACAGCACGATTATTGATAAAATTTTTCACAAGATGAGGTATAACATACTTGTTACAATGCTTGAAACATGTTTATCAAAATTCTCAATTTATTTCAATGCTGATATTAAAAATTACTGACGTTTTATTATGTGAATTTTCGCTTTCGCTCTTGCAGGAAATGTTCAACATTAGAAGGAAAGGCTGCATTCCCTCTGGCAACACTGCTTTCCTCCTCGATGAGAGTTCAAGGAGATCGCTCGTAATGCAAGAGTCTTCGCACTGGGAAGGGGAGCGCGTTTACAAACACTTCGTCGGAAACCTCAACGATAGGCTGTGGATTATGCAAATCTCCTCGGAAGTCGCATTGGCTTCCGCTCGCTGCTCCGACGAACCTGTGCTGCTCTGACTGTTAGCACATCTCTTTAAACAAGGAGCTCGTCCCCTTTGAACTGTAAAGTTACCGCTTGAGCCCTATATTTGAGAGCTCGTATTCCTGTAAGAAAGAGGTTAAACGGTGCAATCGTTGAAGTACACGATAAGAATCCGACACGTACGGCAGAAGATATACTGATTAATCTTTGTAGTGTACGGAAGCTTCTTTTATAAATGTGTAACATAAATCCAGTGCATACTTTTTTGGTCTCTTCAATTTTTGCCTTCACATACGTAAATAAAGATAATAAGAACAATCTTAAAAAAGTGAATGACAACGTAAAATAGAATCAATTTTTTATTGATGTATAAAAAGATTGCGTTTTTCTGTTCAATTAATGGTTTATCAAATAAGATCAATGCGATAAGCAAATTATTTTGCATCCACAGGTATAAGTTTTAGAAAACAGTAAACTGTTTAAATACAGAAGGTGTAGTAAATTAATCATACCTATCAATTCAATCAATATGCATATTACTAACACATCAACAAAATATTTAATATTTTTAAATCAGGCATACATTATATAAGTAGAAAATTCTATTAATAGCGCACGATATCGGATGAGTCGATAAAAGGTTTTGTTTAGGAGAAATTTATATAGAATTCAGATTGAATATATTTGCGACAAGTTCCCAAATAGGTTCTTATTTAAAATTTCCTAACGAATCCTGTTTTCTTGTACACGGAATACGTCAGTCTAAATTGTGTTTAACATAGTCACATTGCTTTCATTACTTGCACAAACAAGAAGAAATTCATAAACAAAAACTCCACAGAGTCCAGATTATTTTGAAAGGGACGAACAAAGTATGTCATCTGTCGATAAAAGATATCAGTCTATTACACAGTCATGTAATAGCATGTCAAGTAAATGTCATGTGAATATTCTTCTATAACTTCATAACATTTATACATTTTTGTACCCTGCAGGCAAAATCAGGAAAATATAATAAAAAATAGGAGATTTCTATCATTTAAATGAATATATTATAATTTCTCCGCCAGTTTTTTTGAATAATGTATATATCATTTTCGTATACAATAAATTCGTTAGTAAATAATTTATAAAAACAAAGATTTAGAAAACAATATGATATTAAATCAGTGGAATGTTTTATAAAAAACACTCATTTATTCCATTAAACATATTTCAATTTTGTAATCCAGAATCGAGGAATCGTTTTTTACAATACAAAATCAAAATTTATTTTTGAAAATCATCAGAATTGTTAAAATACCTGATCTCAGTACTTCAAACTGCATGCAAGCCAGAAGCGTCTATTGTGACCGCGTATGCTGCTTTAATTGGCTGGATTGTGGATGCAGCAGGGACATCTCGAGTGCAGTACCGTTGTGACTGCATACGTTGTATCAATGACGCGCGGTTCTCGCAGGATAGTGTGTACGGCGAAGTCTTCTAAGTATGTAGATGTTGATGTTACAGTTGCTCATAAAACATCTGCTGTTTTTTTTCAGATACTTCTACTTGACTAAACTGTAGGGTCGCCAAATGTGAAATCTATTTTCGAAACTGCAAAATATTCCCAGCAACCCATGCCAGATATTGTTGGTAAATATTTATAATTTTGAAGCACATTGTCATATGGCTTACTTACGGGAAATATTTCCATTAAAAATATAAAAGTTATAACCACCTACAAAATGTTCAGCAGTTGCAAAACTAATTGTTTCATATTAGAAAATTTAATTCTTGGTATATTCTAAGCAAGAAATTATTTCTGCAATTGCTTACCGTACAATAACACGTGCAGTTTATAAAAGCTAATACTTTAGATCACAGAATACAATTCTATGTTAATAAATGGATAGTTATAAAATAAGAATAAACAGTTCATATTTCACGCGAGTTTTTGTGAGTAAGAAATGTTGCAGGAGAAGTTGTCGTACTCAGTGTTTCACAAAGCCACATGTTGATGTATTATTCAAGCTAAAAGATTCGTTCCAACATAAATTAGCAATGGATAAATATGTTTTCTATACGATAGTTGAATGATTGTATCACTTAGAAAAAATATAAATGTTTACATCGTCGGTTCGACAGGAAGAAATTATAACTTTGATACCAAGATGTGTGCCTCGTCCATTTGGTGGAGTCTTCCTTACTCGAAGTTAACGTTGTATGATTTTTGACTTTATGATTTTCCGTGAAACAACTCCTCCACCATTCCCCCAAAATATTCGAAACGGTAAATAGTATTTTTTGTAATTATTCTTGTGAGGGTTCTAAAGACCAATATAATAAATTGTTGAGTTAAATTAGGTTCAATCATAGGTTACGAAGTCAGCAAAACATATCACGAAACTTATAAATCCATTGAACCCATTAAGGCAATGCTGTGATACGCTAACCTTCAATATTACAGTACATTCTTATGTACATGCGATCAGATACGTATTAGTGTTGAATATTCTTGAAACGAACACATGACCAGTTTCCCGCAGATAAAAATTGCATCTGTGACTCGTGCAGAAAAGTTCCTTCCGGCGAGTGGCCGAGTGGCTTCATTCGCGCAGTTCCCCAAAGCGCTCTGCTTTCTGCCATTCCCTTCGACGGCGGCTACTTAAGAGATGTCAGAAACGTTCCGTAGTGTCCGATTTCCGAGGAAAGTCCGAGCCGCGAGTCGGCCAAGGTAGTTGGGACAGTTTGTATTCGGCCAGTGGGAAAGGCTGAAAAAAATATTTCCCGTATTTTTGTTTGCAGCGATTCAGAACAGTTGTGAGAAGTTGGTAATTGCGTTTTGGAGAAGTGACGTGGTCGTGCAGTGCGGAAGGGCGTGGTGAAGTAATTTGCTGGTGGCCATCGTTCTGCTTGGAGAACTAATAAAAGCGTCCGCAGAAAACGAAACTTCAGAAAAAGTTGGTCTTATTAACCACTGTATGTTATTAAAAAGTTTCTTATATTTATCAAATTGTTCACAAGAGAAAGAAAAGCTTATAAAGAAACAATATTTTCTCTTCTGGAATGGCATAAAAACCCAGAGAAATTAAAGTAACTTATGTATTCATTGCATGTATACATCTACTTTTCCAATGTGCCTTTAATATTCCCAGAATAACATTTTTTAACTCGTTCTTGCGTTAAAAATTGTAAAGAACCATATTATTATTGATAATAAATTGAAATTAAGAATAATGATGTTATGAAATTTCTAGTATATTAACAAATTTTAACTTGATAACTTTGTTTTTTAACAAATAAATTGTTTCGAGCATTTTGATTTTTTGAGCTGTTAAAATTAAATTGATTCAATGAACTCATTAGCTTATTTGAAATTGCTTCTATTGTTTTGAAATAAGTAGGTCATGAGTTTTTCCATTGGTTTTGATAAAAAGTTAGGAAAATTGTATCATGTCAGGTCGTCTTACAAATATCAAAAATGTAAAATATCAAGGGGGTTGTGCGTCTACTAAATTTATGTTTAACCGCCAATCTTGAGAGTCACACTGCAGACAATTATTGGTGCAGAAATATTTTGACTAAACTATGGCCCTTTCACTATTGCGAATAGTTACAATAACTCCTCCTCACGGTGTCTGTAACACGAGAAAGTAATCGTAGACAAGTTACTCGTTTTTAGGCTGGATCCTAGAAACAAAATTAATGTGTAAATAATTTGCGCTAGTTATTGAAACTCCCTATATTTTGGTAAATTTTCGTTTCTATCAGGAAAACGTGCCGTGAAAAAAAAAATGTAACTTCATTATCGTCATCAATGGTCAAAATGTATTCGGGAAAGTTTTCCTTTCCAAACCAACAAAAACTTACATAATTACTTACTGTAATTTATTTTCCTTGTGGGAAAAATATATTTCGAAGCAACGCCGTCATTAAAAATAATCTAAAGTCATGAAGTTATAATCCGATTAAGGTTTTGGGGTCACAAGTACAGAATTTAGGTAAATTCGTAACTACATTATATCTCTTTAAGCTATACAGAATGTCCCGGAATACAGCAATATATATATATATATATATATATATATATATATATATATATATATACACAGAGAGAGAGAGAGAGAGAGAGAGAGAGAGAGAGAGAGAGAGAGAGACTCTTTATAATTAGAGTAAATTTGAGAAGTTAGAAGTTGTCATAGGCATATACTGCATTTTTGTGGTAGACACGCTATAGGTTTCGACTCTAGACTGAAGGTGGATATATTACTTTTCACGGTACTCAACTGAAACAAAGATTTGTTTACACAAAGACACACACTACACTTCGTCTGTTTCGCGTGTGTACATCGAAACCAGTTTCTAAAAACTGAAACGGTCACGGCAGCCAAAAAAGAAAGAGAATGTGACACAGCAGCGAGGCACGTTTCCAAGCCAACGCGCCGAAACATGACTTACTTTGACGGCGGCAGGAGGTGTGGTGTCGAATTTCACGTCGCAGCCCTTTCCACAGCTTGGAGACGATGAGGGAGTAGCGCGAGGGCTCATGATGGCACGAAGAGGGACGAGCCAGCAGCATGCGCGCTCCAGCGAAACAGTTGTAGGCGCTGCTCGGCTGCAAGGGACAGCCACACCTCGCCGGCGGCCACTGTGGCGCCTGCGGCCAGATGGACAGGCGAGCGCGTCACAACCGTTCTTCCTCACACATGAATCTATTAACATATATATATTATATAATTATATAATTATAATAATTATTATATAATTATATATTAATATAGTTATATTATTATAATATTAATATAATATTATTATATATATATAATTATAATATATATTAATATATAATTATATTAATATAATTATATATTATATATTATATATTATATATTATATATTATATATTATATATTATATATTTTATTACATTAATACAAATATTAGAATTTTATACTAAACCGAAAACTTTTTATACGCTAAGGCACCATGTCCTAGGCACATATGCCAACGTTTCGGCCGTCATGCTGCGACCTTCCTCAGGGCGAAATGCTGGCAAGTCAGGTTGCGGAATGGCGGACGAAAAGTTGGCACCCGGCCACGGAAGCCTGCGCTTTCATTACTTTTAACATTGTTTCAACTCATACAACGCTTACAATAGTGGTTCAATTTAGCACGTTCAGATTCTCGCTCGAAGTCCGTGTAAAACGGGTGTATTTTTTATTAAATTAATTTGTAGTAAAAGACAGTAAAACCGTATGTGACGTACGTGGGGTGTGAAGTATATTCTGCGCACGTGTTCTTCAGCTCTTGAATCCACATGCCACTGTTTTATTATACATAGTTAAATTATGAATACGAGTGATATGAGTATGAGTACCCATGGGGTTGGAAACGTTTGAAAAATAAAGATCTTTGCTTCCGAGTAGCAGAAAATTATTTGCTTTGGGAAAAATAATCATATTTGAATTTAAAATATATGTTACGTAATAATAACCATATCCCATCCCGTAACTAGCAAAAAGAGAGCTTAACAAAACGTTTGCGTAGTGAAGCTCTATTTACAGTCCAGAAAGAAAGCAAAGAGCTATCTCTGCATTTGCACAATGGATCAAAGGAAAACTGAACGAAAAACGTAAATGAGATAGGAGTCGCTGACCCAGATGATCTAGTTTAATACTCGTTAGAGGCGTGTTTAGTATCTTAAAATAATAGAATAAAAATGTTATCTAATATGTATACATCATTTATAAAGTAAAATACCACTTTCCTTTTTGATGGTCAATATATGGTCAGAATTAAATATTACAAATACTTTCTACATGTCTTGTGAATGTTACGTTTTCGAGTAAATAGACTGGAACATATTTTGTACACAGCTAAATTTTCCATAATAATTCATATTATAATAAACCTGTGCAATGAAGCATATCAAATTCTGTATATAAAGTATATCATAAAAATTTTCAAAGGTTTTTAGCTTCATAAAAAGTTAACATCTATAAAAAACAAAGATAAACTGAATGGTTTCGGAGCCGCCCCTTTTTTGGCATTACTCGTAATAGGATTTATATTAGAGACATGAAAAATAACATCAAAATACTTGTAAGTATGAAAACAAACGTATCATCAACGCTTTTTAATGTCTGCTTTTCTGAGAATTGTTTTCACTTAAAATGCATGTCTGTAAAGAGAACAGAAACCGAATCTGCAATGTTCCGAGAACCAATATCTCTCGAATAGTGCTTGCTGAAATGTAATTTATATTTGAAAATTGTTTGTAATTCAATACAGGAAATGATGTTTAGATTGAAATAATTTTCTATTGAAAGGTCGTTTCTGCGTCAATGCGTTTCTGTTGAACGCTCGTATTTAATTTTCAAGAGTAAATTAACAGTTTTGTGAATGAGTAAAAATAATGGCATTGCTCGTTCTCCAGCCTCTACACCTGCTTTACTCAATTTTGTTTGGTGAGTGACAGAACAAATCAAATAAGACACTATACATTCTATTGGATATAAATAAAAAATATATTATTAAGTTATTAGAATATTATAAGTGAAAAATCATCACAATTTACTTCTAAAAACCGAAGTTGTGAGAAATCGGAAAAGAATAAAATATGAAAACTATTTTTTTAATTGAGAAGGAGTTTCATAAATTATATGCATTGACACTGTGGTGGTATAATTACCTTTCAATTCAATAAAACACAAAATAATACAAATATTAAAAGTACTCTGAACCCATTTTGTTCGTTCGGTTCGGTTCAGTTGGGTTCGGTTCGTTTTTTTCGGTCGAGCCATTAAACCGCTACACAAGTAACACAATTTCTTCGAGAATGACAAAGGCGCATCTCTTATAATATAACCACTATAACTATTAACGCCATGTCATCAATTTGATCTAAGTAGTAGGGACGAACATATGGCTGGTGCGATTGACGCTTCCTTCAGGCTAGTGGCTACTCGCTTTCTTCAAGAAGGGAACAGTGCAGCAAACCTTCACCATAGAATAAGCCGAGTCCACGGGCTAAATGTTACAAACAGCTGTAGAAGCTGTACAATGTTACAAAATGTAGAAGAGTCGAAAATTGTCACCTATTTTAAGCTAACATACAGTGGGAAATACCACATAATGAAGTTAAAAGCATTATATAAATGAGTCATTCCAAGTCAAATCGCACACTTCACAGAATATCACTATTTTTTAGGGACTTGAAGTTTTTTTTTTTATAAAATTTAGAGTTGAAAATAGGTGACACGTATTTTTTATTTTCCTAATCCAACTTCTTTCAGCAATATTACCAATTATTTTTCAGTGCCTAGTATTACAAAACAATTCGAGTTGGTTTCCAAAAATGTCTAATATGAGTGTTGAGTGGCATTTCTTCGCTTCGGAACGTCTTATGAAAAGGGACCTTGCGGCGGAGTGACGAGGAAGGGGGGATATAATATTCTCAATAAAACCTAGCCTTCAATTCTGGAAAGAATCTATTAATGTACCCAGGGAGTTATTTAAGTGCGATGAGTGTCATGTACCCAAGGAGTTATTTAAGTAGGATGATGAAGAACATTACAACATTTCCTTTATATTTTTGGAAACGCTGAACAATACTTTGAAATAGAACTATCGGAACAGTGATATGACAATAAATATCTGTTTAAGCCACAAAGAAAATTCATAGCATCGTTTCTTTATGAAACAGTCGATAAACAATAAACTCTATTAAGTTAAGTAAAATAAATATTTATTTAATTACCTGTACCACATTTTATTCGTATAAATACAATTGTACCTGTTTAATACAGTGTTTTACTTATTTAAAGCTCTTTTCAACTTCTAAGGTCATTTTTTTACCACTGGAAGTAACTTTGGGGGTAATAGTAACGGTATACGGACGCACACAAACATTCATACCCAGGGAGAGATTCGAACCCGCGAACCTTCAGGCACCAGGCATCTGCAGTTCTTCTGCCTTAGTGACCTCGGCTATCCAGGCCACATTTAATACTAAATTGAATACGTTTGATAATTTTTAATTTGAATTTAATTGGCAATGAAGGTCATAAGTACGAATAAATCCGGCATCATATTTGGATACCGTTATTTCCGGCACACAGAAAGATTTGAAGGAATACTCCTATTTATTACTCTGTGGAAGAATATTGAAGGTAATCGTCTACAGCTGACTGGCACGTGATTTTGTGGTGACGCTCGAGAACACGCTGTAGTAAACAGCAAGTAGACATTTCTATTGTATTTAATTTAGAAGAATATTTCTCGATGTCCCACTTTGAAACTTACTAGGCATATGAAGAACTTTTCAGAGATTACAATGGTACTTTTCATATTTTTAAACTGTCGAGTTACGGAAAAATTTAAAAGAGTAAATAAAATAGGTCAAAAAATTCATTTTTAAATATTTAATGAATTTAAAAAATGCATCAAGTGAAAGAACATTATTTGTTCTTTACTTTCGGAAATTATTATAGTTCAATCACAATTCAATCCCCATTTTTCAAAAATTTTGAAAACGAATATCATGAATAATAGTTGGGGAAAAATGAAAAACGTGTTTCGCTTATACTCTTCACAAAAAATTCATATTCTGGGAGATCATGGTTAAATTTTCCTTGAATTTGTGAAATTTGACGTCGAATGATTAAAATGTGACATTTTCTCTGATTTTTTGGCATAGTTGTAGGGCAGGACACTTTCTGACCCAGTTAAGGACATTTCATGTTCCTGTCGAACATTCGTACATATGAGGCCGCCTTAAAATAAGGGTAAATGTATATAATTCCATAATATAAATCTCTCACTATATGCTAGAAAATGTTATCCTTTTCTATACCTCGACATGATTTAGAAGTTTGTAACATTTATGCTGAGCCACCATTTATCTTGGTCGCTATGGTGTACGATACGCTTCAACCGCCAGACCCGTCAAAGAGGGGATATTCCAATTAAATTACGAACTGGACAAATGAGATACGAAATGAGCAAATACCAAAGCATGCGAAAAGAGCAAAGTAGACGACTTTGCAGCATGACTTCTAATTCTTTGAAATGAGGCTTTTTGGTCTGCAGAAGATTACGCCAGCAGCGCAGACGCGCGGTCTTTGTGCTCGGCTCGGAGGGCGGGGGGCGCATTCGTGTCTGCCGCGTCTGATGCGCCGCGCAGTTTCCTCAAACGCAGAATCCCCAAACAAAGGCCTTGAAGAAAATCGGTCCGGTAATTGGCTCGCACGACACCCAAGCCCGCGCGACAGAGCGCTTGGACGGCTTTCCGAGGCAGGTTGTCGGAGCGCGCGACCGACTTAGATGGCTCAGGGCATCAACTGACGTCACTACAGGACCTATGACAAGGAAGTCCAATGGTTCGAGTTTCGACGGCGGCAGGATTTTAAACAGTAGCTACATAGGTAGGTGGAATTCAGATGCTGCCTGGAGGAGAATTCGAGCGTCCAGCTGCTCTGATCGGTATTGGCTCTGATTGGCTTGGTTTCTCCAATCAACCCTAGTCGAACACCGGAGCAGTAGTATAACAAACCGCGGTCCACGGACCGCATGCGACCTTTCCTTCCTATTCCTTCTCTTATTCTCACACCTTACTTACACACACACACATGCACTATACTACCACACATGCCGAGAGACTAGTTCGGAGCTTAGAGTTTGTTTCGGCCGGAGCGGTAACCCGTTGGTAG